TCGGAGAAGTGCGGAGGCTTTCCAATTCGGAACTTCAGAGGAAACGAGAAAAAGGGTTGTGCTATCGATGCGATGAAAAATGGGCGCCTGGGCACATCTGCAAGAAGAAGGAATTGAATGTCCTTCTTACCCATGATGTGGAAGAAGGAGAGCAGGGAGAGGGCGAAGAGTCGGGAGAGGCGGAGCTCGAACTGGAGGCGTCTAAGCTTAATCAAATGGCGGAAGTCTCGCTCAATTCAGTGGTGGGTTTGACTAATCCAAAGACGATGAAATTGAAGGGGATGATCGATGAACAGGAGGTTGTGGTATTGATTGACCCAGGTGCCACCCACAATTTCATTTCCTTAGATCTGGTTAATAGAATTCAAATACCTGTTGTTAAAATTGAGGTTTATGGAGTGGCTATGGGAACTGGTAATGCTGTACGTGGAGAAGGCTTATGGCGAGGTGTAACACTTCATCTGCAGGGGGTTGATATTGTGGAAGAATTCTAGCCTATTGGGTTGGGGAGTTCTGATGTAATTTTGGGAATTCAGTGGCTCGAGACTCTGGGGATGACTCATATGAACTGGAAGACGCAAGTGATGAAATTTAGGCTTGGCAATGAGTCTGTCACTCTGCGGGGGGGATCCCTCCCTTGGGAAGACTCTGGTTTCTCTGAAAGCTATGATGCGAACCATTAAACGCGAGGGAGCTGGAATTTTGGTGGAGCTTAATCAACTGGAGGGTTTGAGGAAAGTGAGTCCTGAGGTGCCGTAATTTATTCACCAAGTTTTGGCAGATCATGAAATTGTCTTCGACATGCCTTCGGGATTACCACCTATTAGGGGACATGAACACTCTATTGTGCTCAAAGAAGGCAACCAACTGGTTAGTGTCCGACCATATCGCAATCCTCACGCTCAGAAGGATGAGATTGAGAGATTGATCAAGGAAATGCTTACTGCTGGAATAATTCAAGTCAGCAGTAGTCCCTTCTCGAGTCCGGTTTTGCTGGTTAAGAAGAAGGATGGTTCCTGGCATTTTTGTGTGGATTATCGGGCTCTAAACAAGGTTATCGTACCAGATAAGTTTCCCATTCCTGTCATTGATGAGCTCCTTGATGAGCTACATGGTGCGAAAATTTTTTCTAAGTTAGACTTGAAGTCTGGTTATCACCAAATCAGGGTCAGCAGTCAGGATGTTTATAAAACTGCCTTTCGAACTCACGATGGGCACTACGAGTTCCTTGTCATGCCCTTCGGACTTACGAATGCCCCCGCTACTTTCCAATGCTTGATGAATGATGTCTTTCGGCCTTTCTTTCGAAAGTTTGTACTAGTGTTCTTTGACGATATTTTGATCTATAGCCCCTCAGAGGAGACCCATCAGCAACATCTAGCACAGGTCTTGGAAATCTTGCAGGCCAATAGTCTCTATGCCAATCGAAAGAAATGTGAGTTTGGTAGGACTCAAGTGGCCTATCTAGGTCATATCATTTCCGAGTAGGGAGAAGCAGTAGATCCAAGCAAAACTCAAGCCATGATTTCTTAGCCAACGCCCACTAATTCGAAGGCATTAAGGGGATTTCTGGGTTTGACAGGATACTATCAAAAGTTTGTGGCTAAGTATGCTCGAATTGCGTCACCATTGACTGATCAGCTAAAAAAAGATAAATTTGGGTGGAATCCGGAAGCTGCATCAGCTTTTGAAGAACTTAAGCATGGTATATCCTCGGTTAGGAGATATTCTTATCCAGGGGTAGCAACCAGTGGCTTATTATAGCCAAGTACTGGGTCCCCGAGCTCGCCTGAAGTCCATATATGAGAAGGAATTAATGACAATCGTGTTTTTAGTGTTGAAATGGCAACCTTACTTGCTTGGAAGGCGTTTCATTGTGCGGACCGATCAGCAGAGTTTGAAGTTTCTTTTAGAATAATGGATTGTTGGAGCTGAATATCAAAAATGGATTACTAAAATCATGGGGTATGATTTCGATATTTAATACCGTAGTGGGGCAAGTAATCGAGTAGCGGATGCACTTTCTCGTTTAACAGATGAAGTGGAGTGCTCAACCTTGGCTATACCACAGTGGCAGCATTGGGACTCTTTAAAGGTGGAATTGGCGGATGATACTTTTCTAAAGAAACTAAGGGAGGACATTATTTCCGGTACACAATCTCATGTTGGGTTTACAGTGGAACAAGGGATACTACTCTATAAGAATTGTCTCGTTATTCCACGGTCCTCCAAGCTTCTTTCTACTCTAATTGAAGAGTTTCATGCCACTCCGGTTGGGGGACATTCGGGAGAAACAAAGACTTACCAACACCTGGCCGCTGAGTTATATTGGGTAGGCATGCGCAAGGATGTAGCCAAATTTGTACGAGTGCACAGTCTGTCACCAGAATAAGTACCGGGCCACTACTTTAGCTGGGTTACTGCAACCCATTCCACTTCCGGCGCAAGTTTGGGATGAAGTCACTTTTGATTTTATTGAGGGGTTGCCCCGTTCCGATGGCTGAGATGCTATCTTGGTAGTGGTGGACCGATTAAGTAAATATGCTCATTTTATAGGTTTGAAGCATCCTTTTACTGTTGTTTCGGTTGCTGACATTTTTATTCGTGAGATTGTAAGGCTTCATGGTATTCCCAAATCAATTATTTCGAATCGGGATAGAGTGTTCTTGAGTCATTTTTGGAGTGAGCTGTTTAAGTTGCAGGAAATACTCTAAAATGGAGCACTGCCTATCATCCTCAATCTGATGGGCAGACGGAGGTTGTCAATCGGTGCTTGGAAACTTATCTGTGTTGTTTTGCTTCTGGAAAGCCTAGAAGTTGGGCTTGCTGGTTGGCCTGGGCAGAATATTGGTACAACACTTCTTTTCATTCCTCCACTCGTTGTACCCCTTTTCGTGCTCTCTATGGTCGGAATTCACCTCCTCTTATTCGATATGAGCGAAGAGCTGCTTAAGTGTCTTTGGTAGATCAGTTGTTGGAGGATCGTGACGCTATTTTGGATGACCTGAGAATGCATTTGCTGCAAGCCCAACAGCGGATGCAGCTGCAAGCTGACCTCAAGCGCCACCATGAAGAGTTCAATGAAGGTGACTTGGTATTCTTGAAATTGAGACCATACCAGCAGCGCTCCCTTGCTCAACGTAAATTTGAGAAACTAGCTGCTCGTTACTATGGCCCATTCAAGGTTCTTCAGCGGATCGGGAAGGTGGCCTACAAGCTGGAGCTTCCTCAGACAGCAGCAATTCACCCTGTTTTCCATGTTTCTCAGTTGAGGCCATAATGTGGGATTTCCTCTGTTAACTCCTGAGCTTAAACTTGTGGTGGAATCGGAAGAAGTGCTGGGAGTACGTCCTAAAGCTCAAGGTTAATTGGGTGAAGTTGAAGTGTTGCTGAAATGGAAGTCCCTGCCTGAGTATGAGGCGACTTGGGAGGATTTTCACTTGATGCAACAACAATTTCCTGATTTTCACCTTGAGGACAAGGTGAACGTTTGGGCGGGGGGTAATGTTAGGCCACAAGTGCGTTTCACCTATTCTAGGCGCAAGGGTCATTCCAGAAATCTAGATCATAGCTGACGTGTAAGAAGTGGTTAGAGAGAAGGGGAGCTAATATGCAATTCTGTTATGCATTTCTGTTAGGGAGTAAGTTTTGGCATTCTGTTAGTATTTGCTGGTGTTTTGTTTTGGCTAAGGGGGTGAGGAGAATATAGGGGAAATGGTTGGTTAGTGGAAGGGTATGAAAATATTTGTTTTGTAATGAGCTTGCTCATTTTGAAGAGTTCCCAAGCCTCTCGAATGCTTGGAAAGTCTGGAACTATTCAGACAGTGAATAAAAGTTTCTCTCATCCATTTTTTTGCCTTTATCTGTGTTGCTAAGTCTATTTTCATCCCAGTGTGTATCCGAATATCACAGTGATAGGTGATCAACTTCCAAATGCATCGGTGCGTCTTTCCACCAATTGGATTCATAGGTTATGGAGTACAAAATCCTGGCCACTCCACAGCACAAACAACACCAAGCAAAAACTTATTCTCTAACTTGAAGTATGATCTTATACCCCTTAAAATCTCATATTTACGTTTTATTGCCATTACAGGTGAAGCAGAACTAGGGAAAAGACCAGGTTTCTTATATATTGTATGCATAAACAGCCTCGTCATCTCATCACCATCGTGATTTTCAATGTTTTCACACCGGGACCAGACCAGGTGCTTCTCAACCGTCCAGTGTCAACCGGCTGCGTAAAAGGTTTAGGTAGACCCTAGAAATCATTGTTCTTGACAGACTAATCAAGTTGGTTCAACCTGATTAAACCAATTGTGAATTCCTGTCATAAAAAGCAAACACCTTTGGGGCAAATTTGCATTCCAATCCCCAAAAGAATGAAGGGTCCGTCATATAATGGATTGAACTCTATCTATATAAATCAGCTAGAGGAACGAGGCCATTCTGCTGTTGGGCCTCCTTACAAATATTCACTGATTGTACTCGAAGAATATGAATCCAAAAGGTTAGAAATTTTTTTCCATTATCTCCAGTCCTTTTTCCTCTTTCTAAGAATGTACTTGCACCTGACATGCGTACTGAGGTTCTTATAAAATATTGTGGGATGCTGATCAAATTCAAAGGGCATAAATCTGCTATCTTTTCTACTCACTCCCAAATTTCATCAGGTTGATCTCTTACAAATGCTTTGTTTTTTCCACTATTTATCACATCTTTCATAATCCATGATGCTCTTCATTATGAAACCTTCCCTCAGCCAACCCAAAAAAAAAAAAAATTCTGTCTGACTGTTTTTCAATCCAAATTTTTGGGAGTTAATGGTGTAGGTTTGAAAACATTGCTAGGACTACTTTGAAATACAGTTGAATCTTGACCATAAAAATGACAACCCAAAGAAAACATAATTTTGATTGCACAGAATATTTAGAAATGAGAAAGAAGCTGAGTTGTGGCCTCAAAAACACTACTAGAACTACATGGGACAGGCATGATATTTACTCAACAAAGGACTTACAAACCAGCCAAACCCAACCAGAGCCGAATAATGAGAGGGCTGCTTCTATGAACTTCTCTCTGAAATTAGTGAAAGAACCAAAATCTTTTTCAATCTGCTGAAGTAGACCCAATATGGGCATGTTACCACCTCCTTGCTGCATGGACTCCCAAAAGAAATCATGATTCCAGACCTGGAGGGCAGATTAGAAGGCTAGTATTAGTTATATAGCTATATCAGATACAATAATGCTTTTATTGGTGAAGATGAAAGACAAATTCAAATTCATATAACCAGACAGAAATCATAAATAAGACACACAACTTGAATTGATCCAGTTTCTCATTCTCTTGCATCACAGTGACAAGATACAGGAGTACATTACAAACAGGACATGCCAATACGGAAGATTGTAAATTATGTTGAACATGGACACTTTGAGGATGTATACTACTATATCCATATGCAACATATGGGAAAACATATAGTTTCAATATATTTTTTAAACCATTGCTGAGAAAGAAAAATAACACGCAACAGGTATGATTATGCTATATATGTACTATTTTAACAACTCTCTCATCATCTCCTTTGGTTTCTATGTTGCATGCTTCAATTGTTTTAGGCATGCATATAATATTAGACTTGTTTTAGAATATTGATAAAAAATATGGACCGTGTCCGACACATTTTAGACAGATTCAAAGGAGTGTTCAGTCCAAACCTGGTTCCTACTAGAAAGTGTATGCATGTCAAAGTCCTTGTTTCAAACAGACTGTTTCAAAATTATAATAGACATCTCAAAGAACTACTTGCATAGGTCCAACCAAAATGTATATTCACACACTCAATTTTGGAAAGTGGAAGCCTATAAATACGAAAGAAAAAGGAGCAAACATTGGCATGTGAAAGCAAAGCTGATCCAATTGTGGCAAGAAAACCTCATTAAGATTTTCATAGCAAAGACTTAACAGACCTGGGCAGCATTGTTGAATTCAGGTAAGGGATTGCCATTATTATATGTCACTTTAATAAGTTCATCCAAGGTGTGTCCATAGAGTGTGTCGTTCTTCTCAAGCTGTCTGTTCAAGCCTTCCACATAACCCCAGTGATGCTCTCCCCAGTGTATTTCAATTGTTCTCTGACTCATGTATGGCTCCAAAGCATCCTACATATACAGAAGACAAATTTGATGAAACAAACACTCAGTAAATAAAATATAAAAAATCCATGTTTTGCAATAATAGAAAGGAAAAGGAAATTGCGCAAATTGCAGGCACAACACAAAATGTCTACAAGCAGGATACAATTCTTCTGGAGTCTAGGCAGCCCAGTTTATCACTGGTACAATTCTTCTGGAGTCTATTTCAAGCAAACAAATTGAATGACAATTGTAGTTCCTAATTTTGTTCTCCACCTTGTTACAGAATAGGCAAAAACATCTTCAGATGCATATGAAGTCAGGTGCCAAACTATACTGATGCAGAAACAACATATGGCAAAAAAAAGTTCCAGAAAACTACACGCCGTTTGTGATTTTTTTTTAGCATTAGTGCTCTCCATGTCCATGCTTACTATGTTTTTTCAATAGTTTCATCATTTTCGTTCTTGGATAGGATTAATTGAGTTATTTAGAAGTTAATTTGTTGGAGATTTGCATTTTCACAAGTTCAGTATTCTGGTTTCCAGTTACTGTTAGAGTTTCCTGAATTTTACATGTCCTTCTTGGGCTACAATTAAGCATATTTATAGCTTAGGAAGTTCCTTTTTGGCCCAAAAGGGCAGTTTCACCCCCTATTCCCCCCTCTAAATCAGGTTATTAATATTATGCTTTCATTCCTCTAATCCAGATTAGAGACATTGACTCTTAAGTCTACTTACATTAAAATAACGCTCTTGTAAACACAAGATTGGAGTTAATGAATGGTTCTTTGTTGGTCTTGGAACGAGTACCGAGCTTTTCTAATGATTGAGTGTTGATGTCAATCATGCCCGTATAGGGTGCTTTTGTATCTTCTACATTTTTTCACAGTTTACCAAACTTTGACTACTTTTAACAGTGTTTTAGCAAAATCTAAGCAAAAGACTTAAAAACCACTGTTCTGCAAACCATAGGCCAAATTTTGTTGCTTCAATTCATCGAAACCATCACTAGTCCTTAGTATTCAGCCTTAGATTTAAAGAAAGCTAGGAGATCCTGCAGCAGGCTAGCAACCATATAAGGGTCATAATAGTTGTAATCTATTTAACATGGATATGGATATGGATACGAGATACGGATACGATACGATACGGATACGACAATAAAGCAAAACCCCAAAAAAATAGGATACAAGTACAACTAGGATATGTTTATAAAAACGTATATCATATATTTGTACTATTATGTAATGACTTAATAGCTATAATTTTAAGTGATTCTTTAACAATAATAAACAATATTAACAAATTTTTATTTTCAAAAAACCACAATTGTCTCACTATAGTATATCTACAAAGTGAACGTAATTAATTAAAGAAATAAGAACCAATATTTAACGAAATCATTTGCTTAGAATTGTTTGTTGCTAAATATTATAGTGCAATCAACTTATTTATACTCTTTGGACATATGATAGTGAATAATTGGAAAACATTCGTGTGTCTTCAAAGTAATATGACTTGTTGTCGATGTATTGCATTGCAAGGAAAAAAAATTAAAAGTAAAAATTGAACAATATTTCTATGCATATAGAAGTATCCATATATTTTATTTCTTTTTGGATACGTTTGGTGTATATCCAATACATATAATCGAGTATTTGATACGGATACGTCGAGCTTAAAGAAGTATCCGTACTTTAGAGGTCAAAATCTTTAGTACTCTCTGGACCTCCTTTTCTAGCCTCAGCAATGGACACTCGCTAAAAATGGCTAGGAATGGGCACCAATCCCTTACGGAGATCGAACCTTTTACTAGTTCTTATTTTATATTTGTTGACAACTTACTGAACTGGACTAATGTAAGGCACGGAAAGCCCCACAAATCACCAGATTTGATACTTACATTAGTGTTCTGAAATAACTCTACATTTGAGTACACAGAAAAAGCCACTGATAAAACATAGTTTGGGCAAATGCTAATTGCAATTCACAATTATAACATATGAGATATGATGCAGAAAACCATGTTTATGCTAAAGGTTGAAGAGACTTGAACTCCAATACTACAGAACAAAGATAGTATAGCAAATCATATTAACATATCTTCCAAACTAGATCAGATATAATCCTTATGCCAACCGTGGTAGAATATTAGAGTAACCAGACCTCTTTTTTGTTTTTTCTGGGAAGTAACCAAACCTCTTATGGACTTTATATTTGAAGAAGAAAATGATCACAGGAATGAACATTGCTGCCTCCTCAATATTTCTTTTTTGGAGAGTAAACTGTTGCTCTTGAGGTTATTGGTACACAAAAAATTACTTACATGTTTGAATGGTGGGTTTTTCAGACCATAATAAGCAGAAACGTTAAAAGCTCTATGAGACCAACGTAAATCGCTTCTTCGCTGCCAGTACTGCATTGAAGATAAGTGTTAAACATGTACGCATGGAAAAGTCCTTTATTGAAGATTGAAATCAGGAAGGAAGCCATTGACAGTTGGAAACTGTTGTCCCTCACAAGAAAATAACAGAAAGTTGCATTTACAAAAATACAATTAAGTCTCCTAGAAAAAAGCATGGAACCTATAATATAAGCATTTATCATTACACATGTATTCATAGATTAGAGGTTTCCTTTTATTTTGAATTTTAATCAAAGCTTAAGTATATCATGAATGCATCTCAAGGAAATACTGTTAGTTATGCTTTCTGCTTTATTTATAGCTTGAGGATACTCTTGTACTTTGTGCTTATATATATAAGTTTGGGTGTAGTTGTGAAACCTAACACAGTACTATCTTCTCATATTTCTCTGTCTTTTCTCTTTTTCTCTTCACCCAAACAACTTCACAACTCAACCTAGTATCAGAGCAACGATCAGATCTAATGTTGCAAAATTGTCAAAACTCATTGAAAATTACATTGCGCAACCAGCAGTGGGTGTTGTCAGCATCTGATGAGTTGACGTCAGCATCGACCCTGTCGGATTTTTTTGGGACTCACAATGGTAGACTCGGAATTTGATGCAGAGAATTATGGTTATTTTTCTGAATTTTTGAAGGTTTTTTGGAAAATTTCAGTATTACACCCAGATCTATTGTTTTTGCGCCATCTGGGCACCTTGTCTGGACCAACCCACTAAATCTGGCTCGACTAGGGTAGTGGAATCATCTAGAGTAGATGGGAGCCATTTTTGGCTTATTTTTGGTGCCGGCAGTAGGAATTCCTACTTTTCAGCTAGTTTTTTTGCCTCTGGTTGCCTCACAGAGGCTGTTAACCCTATTTTTTGCCCAAACAGCTACTGTTTCCACTTGTTTTGATACCCAGAGGCTGTTTGTCTACATTATGCTTCTGCTGGAGTTATTCGGTGGGTTTGCTGGAGATTACCAGTGCGTTGTTTGCCTTTGTTGCAATTGTTAGTGGTACTAACAACTATTGTCTGCTGCTGGTTATTGGACCTTGGGTTTTTTTTTGTTGGTTGCTGGCCATTGGTTTGCAGCTGCTGGTTGTTGGCCTAGAATTGGACCTTGAGTTTCTTTCTTTTGTTGTTGGCTGCTGACCCTTGAAATGGACCTACTTTTGCTTTTTTTTTTTTGGGCTGGTACTCATTAGTTTTTCTTGGTTGCTGGCTATTGGCATTCGATTTGGCCTTGGGCTGATGTCTCTTGAGGGCTTTTATCTCGTTGGGTTTGCTAGATTTTAGCCTCTGGTTAAGGGCCCCTCACCCAGGTCATTTTTTAGCCTTTAGTTTGAGGCATTTTTCTGCTGTGGTGCAAATCTTGGTGTTGTGTGCAATTTCGTTGGTCATGATTTCGTCATTTTGGTGCTTTTTTAGTACCACGGACCAGATATCTTGAAGTGTGCTTATTGTAGGAAGAATAGCCATACTAGGAGTTTTGTTAGAAGCTGAATGGATGACTCACACGTGGCCGATGTGGTACTATACGATTCTATGCATGCATAACTGAATCTTCAGAACATCCATCTCAATCTGGTGACAGTACTTCCACTTCCTTTTCTCAAGATGAGACGCCAACTCTCAAAAGTCTGATAGCTAAGCTTAATATTTCCTCTACTCATGCTTCTTCTTCTTCCAAATTTGTTCAAACAAGTATATCCGCTAGTACATTTAAAGTTTCATTCTGATACACTCCTAGGATAATTGACTCTAGGACCACAGACCATATGACGGGTTCCTCTTACCTTTTCTCGTCATATGCTACATGTTTAAGGTAGGGATAAGGAAAAAGTGGTAGATGGAACTTTATCCACTATTTCAGGCTAAAGTTCAATTAATTTATCTTCAACCTTACCCCTTTCATCTGTCATTCATGTCCCCAATTTTTCTACAAATTCATTGTCGATTAGCAATATTACCAATTCCCAGAATTATTCCGTAATCTTTTACCCTACTCATTGTATCTTTCAGGATTTGGAATTGGGAAAAACTATTGGTAGTGGTAGAATACATGGTGGTCTATACCTTTTTGGATGCTGAAGGTTTTTCTCGTACTGGTTAAGCACTTCAAACAGATGGTGTTTTGGCTCTTCAACTCTTACATCAATGGCATAATGTTTGGGACATCCTTCATTTGATGTCTTGGAGAAAATTTTTCCTAGTCTAATGAAGCAATGTACTAGGCATACATTTGTTTGTGATGCTTGCGAACTTGCAACGTACAAACGTTTATCTTATCCTAGTACTAATAATAAAAACATAGCACCCTTTGTCATTATTCACTCTAATATGTGAGGACCTTCTCGTGCTGTGTCTACTTCTGGTTATTGTTGGTTTGCCATTGTAATTGGTTGTTATTCTTGTCTTACTTAGGTTTACTTATTCTGCACTAAAAGTAAAATTTTCTCATACTTTAGATCTTTTCGTAAAATGGTGAGTATACAGTTTGATGCTAAAATCAAAATCATTCGAAATGATAATGGTACTGAGTACATAGATTCAGAATTCCATTCCTATCTTAGTGAGAACAGCATTCTTTATCAAACCTCTTGTGTGCGTACCCCTGAATAAAAATGGTGTTGCTGAACAAAAAAATCGTCATATTCTTGAAGTTGCTCATTCGCTGATGTTCACCATAAATATTCCTAAATCTTTTTGAGGAGATGTTCTTCTTACTGCTACTTACCTTATTAATCGTCTTCCCTCGTTGGTCCTTCAGTTTAAGTCACCTATTGAGTGTTTTCTGAGATTTATTTCACTCCTTCCATTTCTTCCCTTCCTCCTAAGGTCTTTGAGTGTGTTTATTTCATACATGATTATAGAACCTCTAGGGGAAAACTTGATCCCAAGGCCATTTGGTGTGTATTTATTGGTTACTCTCCTACACAAAAAAGATATAAATATTATCATCCCCAAACGCAAAATGTGTTTGTTAGCATAGATGTTACCTTCCGTGAAATTGGGGGATTTTATTCTAGTTTTCAGCTATCGCTTCACGAGGATAATACTACCATTGGGGAAGAGACAAAATGTCAGGAATCTATTCTTCAATTGCATGTTCAGTGAAATATTAGTAAAGGGAAGCAACAATTTATTGAGGAAAAAAGTAGTGATACTAGTAGTCCAGTTGACAATGATACTAGTAGTCTATATGGTACTCGCCTTGATAAGGATAACCTGAACAGTTATTCTCGACGTCAAAAGGTACAAGGACAAACTACCCATGTGCCACCGAGCCAATTGAATTCCCTAACTCCAGTTCAGACATTTTCCAACGATTTATCAGGTAATGAACTTTCAGATGTTACTCTTGTTAATAACCCTGTTACTGATAATTCTGAGCTTCCTATTGCAATAAAAAAGGGTGTTAGAACTTATACTTGACACCCCATCTCTAACTTTGTATCTTATGATTCCTTATCCCCATCATATTGTACTTTTGTTTTCTCTTTGTCTTCTACATCTATTCCTCAAGGTTGGAAAAAAGTTCTCACTGATCATAAGTGGAGAGAAGCCAGGAACGATGCATGGGAGCTAGTTTCTTTTCCTCATGGAGCAAGGGCAATAAGGTGCAAATGGGTGGTCATTGTCAAATATCAAGCTAATGGGATAGTCAAGAGGTACAAAGCAAGGATGGTTGTGTAAAACTCAAAAAAATTAAAATCTTAATTAAAGGGATAATATGGTAATTTAGTCGTTTAAGTACGGGCTAAAAATATGAATTTTTAAATAATTTGGATGATGAAATGGACCTCACAATTGAATTTATCTTGCAAAATCGATTTAGTCAGTCAAATTTTATTAAATTCTGAGATGGTCAAAATTTTCATGTAAAACGAGGCAAAACACACGATCGAGTGACACGCAATTAAATTTCAGATATTTTAAAGAACATTATCTAATTGGACAAGTGTCGCATTATGATTGACTCTCTAGAATTTCCAACCAATCAAAAGTTGACATGTGGTGCATTGTGAACCAAATATGAGGAGAGTATTTAAAGGGGGAAAAATCAAAATTTTCCCCCATTCTTGCCTGGCATTTCGTTGGAGAGAGAGAGAAAAAAAAACCATCTTTTCAAGCTTCTTCTTCTTCTTCCTATCATATCCAAGATCTAATTGTTAGAATTTCGATCAACCAAGAACTAAAGTCGTTCTACTCGACAAGGGCAACGCGTCAACACCAACGACTATTTTCCATCAATTTCGAAAATCAAAGGTGTTGGGGCTAGGGCTTTGAAGAGCTTACTTTGAGTATTCTAGAGGGATTTTCTTCTTATTTACGCTTCAAAAGTGAAGGTTTCCTCCTATTTAGGATTACTCTTAATTTTATGTATGTATATGGTATGAGTAAGGTTATGTAGATTAGTTACATGATGTAACTAGTGTGACTAGTGGGATGTTTGGATTAATTGATGAGCATGTTATGCCTATTCCTACTTGATTTGGGTGTTGAATATGTGGGTTATGTGTGATATGTTTTGGCATGCTATGTGTTTGTAGCTTATGCCTAAAGTGTTTGATAAAATGTCAAATTGTGTGTAAGTATAATATTTGGATTATTAATGTTATAACATGCTTTACGATGATTATAAGATGTTATTATATGCCTCATGATATAAATAACATGTTGATGTTTATGAGATGTTGCTATATGATTACATGATATAGTTACCACTGTGATGGAATAGAATTGTAATTGTGCATTACATTGCATATGCATGGGTTAACGTTTATAGGCATTAGCATGAATGAGTGTGTGTGCATGAGTTGGGTCAATCACCATATGGTGAGTTGATTGGTGGGCTAGAAAAAATTGGACAAATGTCTAATTGAGTCGCACCGAATATTGCATGAAAAATGTGTTGGGTATAGTAAGGAATAAATTTTTCCTGAAGTGCAAGGCCCAGTTATTTGGTTCACACACTTGTTCGGCAGTGCAATTCCAAAAAACTATGTTCGT